CCAGCGTCTCAGTGACTGTAGTATTTGGGATGAGCTAACTACTTCACTTCTCTAACAGCCTGTACGTAGTCCAGAGAGGAGAGACAGGAAAGCAGCAGCCAGTACAAGGAAGAGAAAGCATTCTCCTTCTCCACCCCCTACTCCTGTGGAGTCAAGAAAAAAAACAGGAAAGAAAGGGTGAGTGTCTAAGTCCTGGAATTTGGGGCGAATTTTCTTGAAGAAATGCTTACGGGGAGATCTCTGTCGCCTTGCACTTGTCTCGCCTTAGATTACAGTAGAATAATTATTTCTACAGTAGACTGGAGCGATTTGGTTTGTGCAGTATGTGTTCTCTTTACTCCTCTGTAGGAATGATGGCCTGCAGGAGGAGGAGGATCTAGTGCAGGTTGTGTTATCTGTGTCAGTGACAGGGTTCGTTGCTGCGGCACGAGTAGAACTTCCCAAAAGTTTTACTCAGCTGCCTCTGAAATCACTCAGGCTGGTTCTGTTTGTGCAGTCACGTGGTGCGTGTGCGCTTTTTGAAGTGTAGCCCCATAAATTACTGCTTTTCATGGAATTTTTTAATCTACGTAGCCAGGTGTTTTAAGTCCGCTTCTCAAATGCAACTTTAACAGAGTAGCATTTGTGGCCTATAGATCAGGGGTTTTTGCTAGTTTGATCTCTGGGGAAAAAAAAAGCCAATATTTATTCAAATAAAAGCTTATTTATGGGGGTTTATGTGTGGATATGGAGGGGAGCACTTCTCAACTAAAAATTCAGATCTATTAGACCTCTTGGGCTCTAATAAGACAAACCTGGAAGTTTATCTGAGGAGAGAAGGAATTAGTTGATAATCTGAGTTCCTTTTTGTGCCAAGTGTAAAGCCTGAGTTCAGCTCTGTCAGGAGAGGTGTGGGTGACTGTGCCTTTGCTCCCAAAACGGCTTCCTCGGTACATGGAACCGACCACCCAGCGCACCTTGCAGCGGGCTGCTGCCTCCCACTCTGTGCCCCCCGTGCCCTTGCTGCGCCCCTGAGGAGGGCAGATGCGAGGGGATCGCTGCTCCCTGGAATCTCACTGGGGTGCAAGTGCTGCCGGCGGGCTGGAGACACTTCTGGGTTGGAGTCGAGATTTATTTACAGTTGTAGTCTCCGGTCTTGAAACAGTGGGGAAAAAACGTTTGTTGTTTTTTGAAACTTACTTTGTTTTAGTAAAGGACAGAGGATATTTTTCATTAACTGCACCAGCACCACTTCCTACAGCATTCATGTTCCCGTACGTGTGTTAGCTCCGTCCTTTAATCCTGATGTCTGAAGAGTAACGTCAAGATGGGAACATCTGACACTTGCAGCTGGCAGAGAATTTGTGTATGATCTGTTTTAGACAAGCAGCCTTATATGGGAAAAGGAGAGGGCAGAAAGAAGAAGATGAGCAAGAAGATCTTACGAAGGACATGGAGGATCCGACACCAGTACCTAATATAGAAGAAGTGGTACTTCCCAAAAATGGTAAAATATGCATACGCTGGATTCTTTGAGTATTAAAAGAATTGCTTAAACTGGGCTGAAAAAATACAGATGTATTTTGTCGAATCTTTGAAATACTTTGTAGCCGTGGGGCCAGCTGATCCGTGCTCATCGAAATTTATCTGGTCAGGGGTTTCAGTGTGGCAGCTGGGAAGGGCGGCAGGTTCACCTTCTCTTGGCTTTTTGAAACACGTTTACGAAAATCCGCTGAAATGTTTGGTTTCACCTATTTTAGGATTGCTCTCGCCCATTATGCAGAGTTCATGTTTTGGGGGATGGAGTTTTCTGGAGGGAAATAGCTGTACGCCGAGTACCCAAGATAAGCACATTAAATGAGTGGAAGCTAGCGATGTGCCAGATGCATTCGGGTCTTAATCCTTTTCAGAAAAGTGTTGATCTGTGCAGTACCTCTTAAGTAAAGATAAGTCAGAAAAATAATTCCTTCCATCCAGCCCTTGACGCACAACGATTTTGGGTGTCACACCGTTTGGTTTTCGCCTGGTTTGAACTTGGGCCTAAGAATCGTTACGTGTTGCACAGGTGGGAAAAGTGCCGTGCTTGGTCCCCTGGCTGCGTGACTAGGAGCTGCTTTGGGCTCAGATGAGAAGTTACAGGGAAACAAGCGGCCTGTTGTGCTCCAGTTCACAGGAGTTCCTCTGTGCAGCTGCAACGACACGACCAACAGCACTCTTTATTGATAAGATCGTAGAAGCATGCTAGGCTTTGATAATTGTGTCTTGTCTGGTGGTTACTCATCAGAGTTTCCGTCTCGCTTACTTTTGTAGTGAACCCAAAGAAAGACAGTGAAAACACGCCTGTGAAAGGAGGAACGGTAGCAGACCTCGGTAAACCCAACAAACACCCAGCACCCTCCGGCACCCCCTCCCCAAGCTTTACAGTAAAGTCTTGCTTGCAGGCCAACAGAGTGATGGTTTTAAATCTCTCAGTTTTAAAAGGAGTCTCTAATTCTACTCTTCTATTAAATTAATTCAGTTTTCGTATGTATTTGAGTTGAAATATATTGACTCTTTTTCACTTGTAAGGCTGTTCCCTTGTAGACTTCTGGGTTTTTTAATATATGACATATAAACTCTTTCCTGGCAAAAATTTTGTTTCTCACTGGGAATCAAGGTGAATCTCAGGTTCCTTGGGCTTTGCTGAGCCTTTGGCCTAAGAGAGACAAGCTAGTGTCCTGTATCCTATTATACAAGGCTACTTCAAGGGCACTGGGAAAGGCGGTAATTGGGCGTGGATTCCCAAGTGTGGAAAAATTGTAATTATCTGTCTTCTGTATTCTTATCTGTTCCCTTGCCTGGGATAGTTGAGTGCCTGTGTAAGGATGAGATTGCCCTAATGGTGTGTGGTCCACTTTGCTTTCCCCCTCACTTCCCTCCCAAAACAAATGAAGTCTTCTTTCCAGTTAAGCAGTTGCTAGGAGGCCGTGTGAGCGATCAGACACTTCTTATCAGCGTAACTCTCAACGCTTTTACCTTTCAGATGAACAGGATGAGGAGACAGTGGCAACTGGAGGAAAGGTAACAGCAGCTGTTTCCTACTAACTTTGGTAGAAATTGAGATCATGGAGTCGTGGCATGGTTTGGGTGGGAAGGGACCCTTCAAGGCCGTCCAGTCCAACCCCTGCTCCCTGCTTTAGCTGGATCACGTTGCTCCCAGCCCCGTCCAGCCTGACCTGGAGTGTTTCCAAGGATGGGGCACCCGCCACCTCTCTGGGCAGCCTGGGCCAGCGTCTTGCTGCCCTCATCGTGAAGAATTTCTTCCTTACATCTGGTGTAAATCTCCCCTCTCTTAGTTTAAGACCGTTCCTCCTTGTCCTATGCACATCTTAATCTCATCGTCAGTAACTTAGCCTGTAATGCTTTTCAAGTGATAGGTAAGATCGTTCCTGATAGGAGTGTTGTTTTGCTGTTATAAAAACGCTGCAAATGCGGTGAGATTGTTTTGTATTTTTAAATCTAGCATGTTAAAAATGAGAATGAGGAGACGGATGCAAAGTGTTTTCAAAGAAGGGTTTTTCAGATACGAGATTTTTTTTGAAAGGTTATGCTTTTTCTTTGGGTTTCAGGAGTAAATCTAAACCCTGGATAGCCTTCCTGATCGTTTTAGTGGAGTTGCCAGGGTAGTTTCCGTATCGAATGGCGTTGTTGGTGTGCCAGGCACTATTTTTAACAGCTTGCCTGGTGTAAGAGGGCCGCCGGATCGTGCGGGTTCCCGGCTGCGTTGGGTTCGTGCAGCTGCAGGCCTGCACGGGCACAAACGCTGGGTGTGTCCTTCGTTACACACGTAATGCAGAGAGCCTGACTTCCCATGCTCGTGGTGCTTCTAGTTTTGCTGCGTTTCGGTTCGTACGTCCGGTCTGTCTGGGTGTGTTCAGCTATGCTCAAGCATCCTTTGTCGTGGTTTAAAAGGGGGAAGGGGGCAGCTGGAGGTGTGCAAAGCACCGGCTGGCTGGTAGGCGGCCGTTCTTTTGGGGTTTAGGTGCAGGTGTCGCCCTAAAGAGCCGTGGGTTTGAGTATCGAGGTGCAGACAGGCGGCAGAGATCACCAGAATACGACTCTTAGCCCAGCGCTGCTTTCCACGTTGGGGAAACCAGCTCGGGAGGAGCGTGACAGCAGGCTTTTCCAGGGTGGGAAATGCTCTTTTGTTCTGGTGTAACTTCTCCATCCCGGGGTGTTGAGTGACCTGGAACTGTGGGACTCCTGCAGCAACCTTAGTATTTGTTCTGTGTTAGACTGGAAGACGTTTGCTTTTTGCGTCCTGTGCTAAATGGTGGGGGGTTTGGGGTGGTTGCCTGTTTCTCTGTTTAAGGAGTGCATTTTTTAGAGGAGAAGGTGGTGGGAAGTTGAGGGGATGATGAGAGGAAGGCCTTGTTTTCTATGGCCAAACTGCTAAATATATTTAGAAGAATACCTCTGGGGGAATTTAGTCCCAGAAAAAGACACATCATTGATACCAGTGACTCTCTAAGATCTTGCTTTAGCGACTTTGTTATTTTTAAGTCTGTTCTGTTTCTCTGAAATCCGTCTGGATTAGTAATTCAGGTGAAGAAAACCATTTGATGCTGAGTTGCCTATGGGCTCTTCAAATAGCACCTGAGGTTCCTTACACAGTTCGTATCCTCTCCTGACCCTCTCTTTCTGCTGCCTCACTGCCCTTCTCTGTCGTTTTGGATCGGGAAGTGGATGTGTGCTGGAACTCCGGTTGCAGAACGCCTCGTGTTCACGGGAGGCTTCTGTTGTGAAGCAACAGAAAGTGACCAGAGACTTGTCCTCTGCTCGGGAATCCTCTGAGCTCTTGCTCACAGGAGGCGTCACGGCCCCGTGTGAGCAAACTCCGGGGCCTGGTCACCCTCTGAGTGGAGGCAAGTGCAGAGACAGGCAGAGTTACAAGCTGAACTGGGATATTTCCCTCTTGCGAAGAAGAGATGCTAAGGCTGGCTTTAAGATTGATCAAAGTGAGTTTATCCAAGCAAGAATTTAGTGTCATGAGATGCAGTTTGGCAGACATGAAGCTGTTACTGCTGACAAGTGTCTCCCAGTGAAACTAGAAGTAACGAATCTGATTTCCTCTAATGCTCCTCTGAGGAGTGAGAAAGTTAACGGGGGAAGAGTGGCGAAAAGCACAACCCGTCTCAGCCAACGTTGCGCAGGGGTGCGGTGTCGGTAGCCGGAGGTGGCGGGACGAGCTCGGCTGGCAGCTCGCAGAGTGCTCCGGAGTCGTGCCGATGTGTTGCGCGTGGCTGCAGTACGCTGCAGAACTGAAACACGGCGTTTTCTCCCGTGGTTGGAGGGTGCTTGATTTTATAAACAGGAGGGGAAGAGGGGTCTGACTGCACCGCCAAGTATGTCCCTGAGATTTGAGGGCTGGCTCTGTAAAAACTTCTCACTGGCCTTACGCTTCTTAAAATATTTCTATGAACGCAGGTTACACTTTCTCTGGTCCCTGAGATTTTTTCCTGTTAGCCAGAGATTGCGTCAGGAAAAGTTTCTTGTGCACAGGATTGGGCTGACTTTGTGCTGGCTGGGAGCTGTTCGCCATGTCTTGCAGCCTCCTAACTGTTGCATTCCCTCCATGGTACAGGAAGATGAAGATCCTAACAAGGGGGATCAAAGTCGGTCAATTGATCCAGGCGAAGATAACGTCACAGAACAAACCAACCACATCATTATTCCAAGCTATGCATCTTGGTTTGACTACAACTGGTAAGAAAGGGATTGGGAACTGGGGGAAGACTTAGCGTTTTGATGGGTTTTCTCATCAATCAAGCTGGGCTTATTTGATGAAACAAGCAGACTTCAAAGGGTTGTGCTGGAATACCAGGGTTTCTAAAAGAAATAATTTAAAACGTTACCCTTGCCATCAGTGTTCTCCCCCGAAACAGCCTTTCGAAGGTGTGCGGAGTGCTCAAGGTGATTTAGTATTTGGCAGCTGAACTGTACGTTGTCGTTGCAGCATTCACGTGATTGAACGTCGTGCTCTTCCAGAATTCTTCAACGGAAAAAACAAGTCCAAGACTCCAGAAATGTAAGTAAAACATGTGAATACAGGCGTGTTGGAGTGCGGCAAGGTATAAAGGAGCTTCCAGCGTCACGAGTCCTGTGGGCACTTCAGCTGTGCAGGGGTTAAGCAGATGCTGTCTCTAGGGGACGGAAGAAGGAGAGAGCAGCTGTGCAGCCATTTCTTGTGGTTTGGTAATGTCTGTGCGCTATTGTAGTAGAGGTAAAAGTATAAGTATCAAAGTAATGGTTAATAATGGTTATCCAAGAAAAATAAAGCTATTTCTCCCGAGAAATACTGGAACAAATTGTTGAACTTTTTTGTGTGTCCAGAGACATCTGAAAAAAATCTCAGGATACTGTAGAAACTTAGTAATCCTCCTTATTTTTCTCTCTCTTCTCATACCATGCTGTATTTTTGAGACTCGGGAGTTTTGTGTGTAAGCACCGATCCCCGAGTTTGCCGTGGGATGCTGTGCCAGGCTGCGGGATGGGTTTTGCACAGTGATCTGTCTTGATTTCACGGTTCCCTGAGCGGCTGATGGGTAATTCTGAAAGTGCAGGTGGGGGTCAGAAAATGAATCTTCACAGACCTGAGATGTAACTGCGTTTTCAAAGACTTGGCAGTCTGATTTAAATCAGAGAGCTGGAGTTGTGCATTGCAGGAAGAAAAATATTTTTTCTTATATAGCTGTTCCCAGCCCTCTAGTGACATTTTAATTCTGGACACGCCTGTTAAGCCTAGTGGAGTTCTCTCTGTTGAAATTAGAGCCAGTTTGTACCTGTCTCGTCCCCTTGTGCGATGTGGTATCTCCTGCAGAACGTCAGCAAGTGTAATTTTGGATTACACACACGCAGTTGTGTAAGCCGCTTCCCTGAAGCTGTTTAAAATAAACTTTAAAAGCTGATTATTGTGTTGAGGTATTGCAGGCTTTTTGATACATCGGAGGGTTAACGTCGGGTCTGACTCAGCAAGATAAGCTGCTGCTTTTGCATCAAATGCTTGTCTTGGGACTCCAGTGCAAGGCTTGTTAGGTGCACTGGTAAAAGTACGCCTCCCCTGCTCTGAGAAATTTCTGTTACAGCAGTAAATTTAGTTACTCAGAGCGATCTCGAAAGGTGATTGACTAAAGGAAGATGATCAGCGTCAGGCTTTTGAACAATGTGCTTGTTTATTAAAATTATAATCCTGAAACCTGAGAGTCACAAAAAATAAATCATAAATTTGAACACCGTTGTGTGCTTGTCGACTTGGGCGGTGGGACGAGGCTGGTTGTGTTCACTTTGTCTTGGTACCCAGTCTTGGTCTAGGTCCCCCCAAAAGCAGCTTTGGGGGATTTTAAACCCTTTTTTTTGAATTAACTACCAAGTGAAGTGTTTGAGGTGTCTTCTCAGTGCACCAGCAAAGCCGTGTGTCTTTCATCCACAGCATTTCTTCAAACTAACTTTTTTCCTCAGTTTCTTCTTAGTGCAAATGGTGGCGGTAGCACCATCTGCGTCGCTCTTCTGGCGGGTGAGCCAGGCAGGCTTCGGAGAGAGTGGCCTCGTGCTTGAATCTCCTCTTCTCAGGCGCGACTGTTGTTTTGTGAGGCTTCTGATCTAGTGTCCAGACGGAAACTGGAAACTAAGCTTTTTCAGCCTGGAGAAGAGAGAGCTTGGGGACCTCATAGTAGTTGCCCAGTGCACAAGGAGGTTGGTGAGGTGATGGAGCCAGGCTCGCTATTGAGGTGCGTGGCAGAAGAAAAATAAGTCAAACTGGAACACAGCAAGTCTTGTCTGATGTGAGGGGAAATTTTAAATCTGAAGAAGATGAAGCATTGGGATGGGGCCCTGGCGAGTTGGGAATGTTCTTCCTCAGAGTCTTTCAGGCCTTGCTGGACAAAGCCCTCAGCAACCTGGTCAAAATCCGGTGCTGACCGTGGTTTGAGCAGGAGATTGGCTTAGAGGCCTCCCGAGGTCGCTGGCACCCTGAATGATTGTCAGCCTGTAGTCTTAACTCGTGACTCCTCTGCATGTCTGAGTTGCAGAGGTGACTGTAGCTGCATCATAGTGATTCCAAACTGTATTTGATCCAAAATGTGTTTCACACTAACTCTGCTCCATCAGTTTTACTCTTCAGCGTATTTTTGTTTCGGAGTTTCTAGGACTTGCTGTCTAGGACTGCAAACAGAGTGAATGGTGAAAGATTGCTTATTTGAAAGATATTTGGCACTGATGGGGCCATCACGTGTAAGCCCGTGCTTCCTTCTTCCATTGACGTCAAAACATCAGGTCTCCTGATGCTCATCCGTGAGCTGCTACTGGTTATTGCCGATGAATGAAGCAAATCAGGGACCCCTCCCACTCCTGGTGTTATCCCAGAGATGTATTTTTGTTGCCATTTAGGGATTGTGGGAGTAGCATTTGGTCTTGGCTTTGTTCTCTTTTTAAATAAAATAGAAACATCCTTCTGAATGGCAGTGTCTTGCCTCCAGCTGAGTTTTCAGGCCAAACAAAATACCGTGCTTCAGGAGCTCACACAGGTTCATTCTTGTGACAGTAGTGCCTGGGGGGTGGTTTCTGTCTTAAAAGGGGTTTTAACTAAATACTAGTTGACTTAACCTTTCTTGCTGTTGACAAGTTGTAGCTGATGGGTCGTCGTTGCCAAAAGCAGATTTCCTTCAGGATGAACAATGAATTTCTGCAGCCAAGACCACTTGAAGGTACCTGTTCTGGAGCAGGTGCCAACCCAGTTCTCCCCCGGAGCATTCAGAAATGTTCCCGAATATTCCTCTATGGAAGATGCTCCCTTTTTGTTTCTTGCCTGCCAAACATTCAGCACGGAGGAGCACACCACCTAGTCCCACGACTTTTTTTTTCATAATTTGGTCGGAATGAAGATGTGGTATTTTGGCAGGAACGTGTTCTTGCAGCATCTGTCTGCTTCTGTCTTGCCTGCAAAAGGCCTTGGTGTTCCAGCTCAGGATGATTTGTATTTTTGGTTACCAGCTGCTTTTGCACACAGCCTGTGAGACGTTCCCAGCTTGAATTTTCCAGAGGCAGAAATCTGCCTATAATACGCTGTTTTGAACACATCTTTTGCGTAGGATACTCCCTTGTATTTGGCAGACGGGTTTTGTTCCATCTAAAGAATAGGGCTAGCAATAACTTTGTTCTGTGCAACTTGTATTAGGAAGCGTTAGTACATTCCAGAAACTTCCTGAAAATACTGAAGAAGCCTGCGAAGCAACGCCTGCAGTGCAGGAAACAGGCTGAACCCCAACACCTGCTTACTTGGGCTGAAATCTGAGGATTTCGTGGGGGGATCACTTCTGCCTTAGCTGTTCCCAGCTCAGCGAGTGGGGAGTGCTTGCTGGCTTCTGGGTTCTTGCCCTCTGCTTGTCAAAGATCTTGTCATCTCCATTTTGCTCTTCTCTAACCTCTCCTTCCTGATGTTTTTATGCATTATGAAGTCCACATGTAGGAACAGCAGCGTTCTGTCCAGTTTTCTGCGTAGCTGCTTTCCTGCCAGGTTCCCAGGGGGTATTGATGAGGATTATTTAGCCTGTTTCCACGTGAAGACCAGACCCTGGCAATTTCTTCTGCAGCCAGCAGTCTCTTGAGTGCGTACTCTGTCAGTGACCAAGCTCCAGCTGTAGTCAGAGCGATTCGGAGTGGGGCAAGGATCTATTTTTTTGCCTATTTCCACCGAAGATGCAATGTCTGTCTTTAGAACCTGAGAGGGTAAGACCATCCACCCATCCCTGATCTCTGCGTGTAGCCGCAGAGCTGCAGCAAAGGCGTGAGAGGAGGTGCTTACCTTCCTCTTCGGGTTATTAGTGCTGGAAGAGCAGATGGTTTGGGTTGTCGTCCTGTCTTTTACCTTCTGATCCCTCTGGTGCAAGACTCGCTGCTGCTGCTCTTGGTTGCAGTTTTCAGAGTAGTCAAGGTAGCCGTTTGAGTGGCTTCATTTTGTTTATTTGACTAGCCCACGGCTATTTGTGTGTGTTGCAATTTAAGCCTGCTTTGATGTACTGCTAGTCCAAACACAGATAAAATCGAGAATGAAACAATCTGGAAGAGATGGGTCATATTCAGCGTGTGTATTTATTATAAAATTCTGCCTGCCTATTGCTTTTGAAACCAATTTGTGAATTTCTTCAATGAAAATGACCTGTTGCTGTTTGCTTGTCAGTAATACCGGTGTTTGGAGAAGGTGGATCCTAAAACACTCTAAACTTGTTAGACATCGGTGTACATGAGCTACGCCCCGATTGTCTTTCAGATACCTGGCTTACCGCAACTTCATGATTGACACCTATCGCTTAAACCCTCAAGAGTACCTGACCAGCACCGCCTGCAGAAGGAACCTGACTGGAGACGTGTGCGCTGTCATGAGGTAAAAGCCGTGGATCCTTCAGCCCCTGGCTTCACTTTAACATAACACATAGGAGATGCGTTGGGAATGGCAGTGTTCCGGTGTGACAGCGTAGGTGTGGGCAACAGCCACCGTGCTGCTGATTAGCAGTTTCCCCCCTTTTAGGGTAACTGGACAATTTTATACTAT